AAATATTGATCTTATCAATTTATTTTAAAATAAAAAATTTTCAATTTAAAAGATAATTTAATTAAATAAATATTTAGTTAAATCTATTAAACAATTTCTTAATAAATCAATATTATTGTTTTAAATTGTGTTAATATCATATTTTATAAACATTTAATCGTAAAATTTTTCTCTAGATAGTTTATAAAACAATTTTATTAATTTCTATTTATAATAGAAAATCATATAAATTCAAGATTTTCAGTTTAAAATTTATATTTAACTGAAAATTAAAAATTTTTTATTTGAATCAAAAGTCTTATAATAAGAAACCTGATTTTAAATTATAATTTTTTATGAATTCGTTTTAATGTTTAATTTATATTTTCTTTTACATTTATTTAAATTTTTTATAAAAAATCTTTAACTAACTATAAAATAAATTTATTAAAATTCATTATAAAAAATAAATAAATTCTCAATAACTCAAGATATATTAAGTTAATTAGTTATAATTTTTCTAAAAATTTATTTAAATATTTTATTAAAGTAAACACATCATAATAAAATTAAACTATATGATATTGAATTAGTTAATTAAGAAATCGTCTATTTTATTTATAAAAAACTTTATTTCTCTTATAAACAAAATTTAGATTTATTATATAAAAATTAATGTCTTATTTTAAATTTACATGTAATTTAATTTAAAATTATTTATATGTTTTTAAAAACTAATTTTACAATGATTAAAAAATATTTACAAAAGAATTATAATTAATAATAAAAGTATAAAAGTTTAAGTAAAAATTTTAAATTTACATTAAATAACATAATCTGTTTATTTTAATATATAAAGTAGTGAGGTTTTATATAAAACATGAAGTAGAATTCTATTAAATAACAATTAATTCACTTTTATATAATAAATTTAGAAAATATTTAAAATATACTACTTTTAAATAAATAAAAATATTATCATTTTATATACATTCATATAAATTCTTATCAAAAATTTTGTTGATTAGTTAACAATTAACATTTGATTGTTGATTCATGTTATTGAAATTATTATTCATTTGTTGTTGAGGAGGCATCATATAACTTTGTTGAGGAGACATCATGTTATTTTGTTGAGGAGGCATCATGTTATTTTGTTGAGAAGGCATCATTCCCATTGGTGATATCCTGTCATATGAAAATTGAGGTGACATCATTTGATTTTGAAATTGATAAGGATTTGCTCCATTAGTTGAAAAATAATCTGAATCTGAACTATCAGAACTATCAGAATCACTATCAAGATCATTAATTTTCGACTTTAACTCTTCACACTGTTGTGGGTTAATTGGTCCAGTTTGACTCATTATAGCATCAATTGGATTTCTCATATTAACACCACAACAATTTTTTAATTGTTTTTTAATTTCACTAATATCATCTTTCAAAACAGCAACAACTCCTTTAAGTTTTTCCATTTCAGAAATAACATCTTTATCAGAATAAAGATCCCCTGTAGTCTCAAACGGATTTTGAGAGTTTGAAACCATATCCTTTAAGGCTTGTTCTTCTTTTATTTTATATAGATCCTTACCTACCTTATTCATCAACATCTTTTTACCCCTAGAATATCCCAATATGTCATTTGTTAATATAAAAAAAAGTAAAGATTTCATGTTTTATTTTAAATGTTTTAATGTTTTATTTAAGTTGATAGAAATGAAACTTGACGGTTTCAAAATAAAGTTTGTGTTTGTTTTTTTTCAAAATTTTTTTAGTTAAAGGACTTTTATGAAGAACTTTGATAACGACGATTTTCTAAAATCTTATGCTCAAAAGAAATTTAATGACTTAAAGAGTAATTTTAAAGAGTATACAGATGAAGAAGAATTAATTAATAAGACTATTGAAGGCAAAGGCACATTAGTAGTTCATTTTTTTAGTGAAGAATTTGAAAAGTGTAAAATTTTAAATAAAAAATTAGAAGAAGTTGTAAGAGAGTATGAAAAGATTGAATTTGTTAAAATAAATGCTAATAATTGTCCTAAGATGTGCAAATCACTTGAAATTCAAACTTTACCTTTTCTTTGTGTGTTTAAAGATGGGTATTTAATTAATTCATCGGTAGGTTTTGAAAAATTGGGAAACAAAGAAAATATTGATCAAAATTCTTTAAAATTATTTTTAAATCAAATTGTTAAATAAATTTATTTGAATTTTATTGTTACGAAGACATCATTGCACGTGCTTCATCACCATTATTTGCTACTTGATTTGCTGATTTATCTATTTCAAACTGATCAAGTTTATTCTGAAGATTTATCTTATTTGCTTCATCTATCTGTTCCTTTAAGTATTTATTATCATTATTACGATTTTCATCAATCTCTTTTCTATTAATATCAATCATATTTTGAATATCATCAATTGTTTTCATGTTTTCTTCATGCTCAGCTTTTGATCTTCTATTTCCTAATATGGAATTTAAATTATGAGTAGAATTTAGATTTTGACGTGTTTTAGGATTAAAAGATATACCTATTTTCTTAAATGAAATACCACCAGTTTTACCATCCTCATCATCTGCAGCAGGTTTAATTTCTTTAATTAAGTAACCACCTCTTTTATATACTTCTTTTAACAGTGTATCTCTTTCTGCATTAGCGTTAATAGGTTTTATAATTACATTCTTATTTAAGAAAAATACATCTGGATCAAAAAAATCACTATTAGGATTAGGTGATATTGGACCAAGTGCATATATCTTCTCTTTGGTTACGGGATGAATAAAATAAACATTTTTTGAAACTTTAAATCTATGCTCTGTTCCTTCATAGGTATACCCTGATTCTTCACCATTATTTGCTTCATATTGTGCATCCAAAATATTATTAAAACTTTTACCAGTTAAATATTCGTTAATTTTAAAACAAAGATTATTAAAAAATGGATGTTTTGCCTGTTCGTTATCTGTAAATAAACTCTGTAAAAAATAACCTTTACAAAGTTCTTTTAATTTTTCAATTGTTTCTTCATTAGGACATCCTGGACCTTCACAATTAGAATCAAAATTATTTTTTTCTATAAACTCACCCAATATACCCTCTAAATCTCGGGTATTTTCATTTTCTAAATTAAAATAGGGATTATTTTCTAATTTATCAGTAAGATTTTGAATCATATCGTGTAATTTTTTAAACTGTTCATTGACTATTTTTTTATTATTGCTATGTTCATCACAAATCAAATTGATTCCAATTGTTAATACTGTTTTTACTATAAAAATTAATAACGCTGATTTCATAGTAGATACATTTGTTTAACACTAATTATATTTTTGAAACAAAAATAAAAACTCAAATAATTTAATCATCTTCAGAACTGTCGGATTCATTTTTTGTATTTTTATTTCTTTTATACTTATTTTTATAATTTGATTGAATTAAATTATTTTTTAAACCGCTAAAAATAGTTTGAGGGTTCAAGGGGTTATTATTTCCCATAAATTGAGGGTTTTGAGGTTGATTAGAACCATAAAGATTATTATTTTGTTGTGTATTTTGATTAGAAGGATTATATGGTTGATTATCTAAATTATAAGGACCAGATGATTGGGGATTAGAACCATAAGAAGTATTATTATATTGTTGTGCATTTTGATTAGAAGGATTATATGGTTGATTATTTGAATTATAAGAACCAGATGATTGGGGATTAAAACCATAAGAAACACCAGATTGTTGATTACTTTGATTAGAAGGATTTGAACCTGTGCCATTAAATGATTGCCCGTTTTTACTGGAAAAATTATTTTGTTGATCTAAATTATTACCACTATTATTGTTAATATTGTCATTTTTGCTTTGTTTTTCTTCAAGTTCTGCAACTCTTTTTTTTAACTTTTCCATTTCCGTTTCTATAGATCCAATTTCCATGGATTCTTTTAAATTATTTGAATCATTTACAGTTGAATTTTTGTTTGTAGTTGAAACTTCACATTCTGTATTATCAGTATCACTGTTATTATTTCTTTCATCAAAATTATTATTAATATCCCTCTTTCCCAATTCATTTTCTTCTTTATATATCATTTTGACTTGACCTGACCCAAATTTTAACTGCATTTTATTATCAATTGAAATCAAATAAACATTTTTTGGATTTATTAATTGGTAGTAATCTTTTTCATTTCCTTTTTTGATTTTAAAAATAAATGGTAGACATTTTACATGTTCTTGATTCATCAAACACTCTTTAGGTATTGATTCAAATTCAGCTTTTTCATCCGAAATTATAGCTTTAAGATATTTATTTTCATCTTTCTTTTTTATAAGTATTCTATCAGTTCCCATTTTTAAAGGTATTATTTCAATAGAAATATCGTTTGAAGCATTATCAGATAATTTTAAAGTGTTTAACCTCTCAAAATTACTTCTACATTTGTTTAACGGTAAAAGAAGAAATAACATTATGTTTGTTTTTAATTTGTTTTAGTATAAGAATTATCTGTAACAAAATAATACAAAAAATAAACAAATAGTTTTTATATTAAATTTGATATCTTATATTATTTTTTATTTTAAATAATTTTAATTAAAGTTTTAAAATTGTTTAAATAAAGTATATTTTTTGAATTATTAATTAAATTTATACTTAAAACTTTTATTATTTATTTTTAAATAAAATATTTTATTGGATTTTTGAATTTTAAAAAGTATAAAATAATTTTATTAAA